TTTTTTTTTTTTTTTTTTTTTTTTGAATTTATTTGGAAAGTTTTTTTTATTTATTTTTTGCTCTGTTTTCAGGGATATTGTTCTTTTATATTATTATTTTCTTTTCTTTTTTCCTTGTTCATCTGGAGGATTTTTCTTTTTGCTCCATAGGCTTTTTTTTTATTTTTTTATTTTAGTGGGGTGTGGTAAATGGAAGGACACACATCTTGTATTATCGGATCGTCTTTGATATTATTTGGTGGAAAAAATGTTACAAGTTCCTCTAATATCAGGTATTACTCAAATGTTGTAAGAGTATTACCAGATATTTCTAAACTTTTCGGGAATGGTAACAATTTTTGTCATATTTCGGAGATGATTACAAAACCCTCGGTTCAGGGTCGTGCTTATCACATGGCGTATGCTTACAGGAAAAAATATATGGTGGTACTTGGAGGAATATTGGAAAATGTTGAAGAGCAAAATAACTGTATGCGATCTATAGATATTCTTGATACCGACGAACGTCGTTGGTATCATGTTAATGCACAGGGTGATGCACCTACTAGTCGTATTCATCAGGCATCATCCATTTATGAAAATAACCTTTTTCTTCATGGTGGATATCCTCTAATACTTGATGACAAGGGTGTAGCAAGAGAATTTACTTCAGATCATATACTTGATATGGGAAGTCTTCTTTTTGACACGTTTATACTCAACTTAGAAACAATGGTTTGGCGTCGAGTAACATCAAATGTTTTATGTAGGCCTCTTCTTTGGGGACATTCTGCTATAACGTTTTCAGGTAATATTCTTATATTTGGTGGGGTGGATGTATCAAAAAAAAAGGAAGTTGGAGATATTATGTTATGGAATATTCAAAAAGAAACCTGGATGAAGGTGGATTGCACATGTTCTTTTCCATCTGCTATGCATCAAGCAGTAACCGTAAGGAATAAAAATAATAATACCAAAGAACCGACACGAATGTTTGTTTTTGGTGGAGTACAATTTTCCTTAGAAGAGTCTCTTTCAGAATTAAAAGAGTTCAATTTGGAAAAAGGAATTTGGAAACTTGTATCGGCTAAAGGTGATATTCCTGTTGGACGTGTAGGACATACATTACTTACTTATGATACTAATACGATTTTAATGGTTGGTGGTGTAATAACTCTACAAGAAAATCTTATTCAAGACAATAGTTTGTATATTTATCGATTGGAGATGAATTCTTGGAAAAAGATTTCCTTAATTACGGATAAAGATCCTTTGGTTGAAAAAACAATGCGTGAAAGTCGTGAACCTTACGTTGGAAAAAGATTCGTTTCTTTTACCTCAACGTTAAAAAAATCTGAACCCTATGATGATTATCGCAATACTCACAACACGGGATCTTCTATTAAATCAGGTACATCAATTTTACAAGATGAGGTGATGTCTTTAGAAAGAAAAAATAATATTTTCTATCCCACGTTTCGTGAACGTGAATTTACTGAACATCATCAGGAAAATATAGGGGAATATTATGTACAAAGTGAAGATTATGATGCACCTCCTCCTCTTCCTTCTCCTATAATAGGGAGAAGAAGTCAATGTAAAGATAAAATACAAAATTCTACGCATATGCCCCGAGACATGAAAAAAACTCCTGGCGAAAACTTTAATAAACACTTCAAAAATGCTGGGAAAAGTGATAAAACGGAAAGGGTTTCAAATTCTTCTGAAGAATATCACTTTAAAGATCTTGATAGTCTCAAGAATGTCAGTCATTTTCCGACAGTGGGAAACGAAGATTATTTAAAGCAAGAGGAAAGTTCTTCTGTTAAAGTGAAGGTTCCATGTGTTTCACCTTCACTTATTCAAGTAATGATCAATTCAACACTTCGACGAGATCCGCCGAAAGATCTCCCTAATCATATTGCTAACTGTCAGCCCTCTGATGACCCCTTTTCGTACCTAAAAGCAACAAAAACCGTTAAACAATGGCAAGAGCGATCTGCATAGTTGTAGAGGTTTGACTTATATATATATATATATATATATATATATATATATTAGAGAAAAGGTATTGGGCGATTAACCTTTTTTGTAACTGCTTTTGTTTTTTGTTTCTGGATATTTATTGAGATCTTTGGATCCGTTGAATAAGTTTTTTTTTCTTTTCTATTACTAGTCAAGTGAGTTTCTCTCATGAAGAGCTGAAGGTTGGGCCGATATATTTCTATCGCTGTCATTTATCTAATTTTTTTTTTTTTTTTCTGTGTGTAGAGTAAACAGAATTGTACATAAAAAAAGAAAATTAATAAAAGAATTGAGGCTCATTAAAAAAAATAAAAAAAAATAAAGTGCGCCGATTTTCTTTCTGTTACTTCTTTGTTATTAGCTCCTTTTTTTCTTGCTTTATTTTTTTTTTTTATTATTGTATCCTTCCTTTTGCTATTATTTAAATTATTGAAACAGTTTCTATTGTTCTCATAATAATAATAATAATAATAATAATAATAATAATAATAATATTAATTATTTTCAGTCTATTAGCTTTATTATGATTATGATTATTTTTATTTTTACTATTATTATTATCATTATTATTATCATTACTATTGTTACTATTTCTATTGTGATTATTACTATTATTATTTTTATCGTTATTATTACTTTTGTGTTTATTGTTATTATTATTATTACTGTATTTTCCTCTTGGTTTAATTGTTTTATTCTTTGTGAAGTAATAATATTATTTGGTGACTCTACTGGTTCCCTTTTATGGTCCTAGATAACAGTGTTCCGTTTAAACTAACACTTCACCCATCTCTTTATGAGGAAAAGTCCGCACTGAGTATTCCTCTTTCTTTTACCGCAGACGTAGATGAAAAGGGTTTCCAGCATCGTTTGGAGATTCGTGTACCATCTAGCCGTCATATTGCAGGTATGGAAATAAGAAATGTGGAATTTCTTTTTGATGAATTAAAAAATGAATCGTGTCAAACCAGTCATTCTTCTTCCAGTGATGGTGTATTGGGTTATTTATTTGCACAACTCCTTGATAGCCAGGGTCGTCCCAGTAGCCATCCATTTGCAGTTATGTGCTGTGATACATCAACTGGAAGAGGTGTTTATTCATGTGTAAGGTTACCTTTTCAGGCTGACCAACGTGTGAGATTCTACTTGGTTCAAAAAAATAAATCAAATGATGAATCAACAGGAAGAAGTACACGCATAGAAGGTGTACGTTTTACTGGAAATATACAACTGGTCTCAGGTGGAGCCTACCTTAAATCGAATAAATCACTTAAACAGATTCAATCATTTATGCAGAAAACATTAAAATTTGAACCCGATAGTGATGGAAAAAAAGTGTCAGGACTAAAGCGGCATCGTGAATCCCCTCAGAGTCCTGTAGAAGAAAACAAAAAATCCTTGACGAGTCGTTCACGTACTGAAAGAGCTCAAAATGAAAAAAGGAAATCTGAGGGTCTTGGAAATGATGAGGAACCACCGCAGCTCATATATGCCTTTGTTCCAGGCGGGGATGATGAAAGCTAAGAAGATATGAGTTTGTGTTTGTGTGTGAATTTTCGTTTGAGACGGCGCTGCATTATATTCTTTCTTAGTTTTGTATTTGCTTTTTTTTTTTTTTTTTTCTGGGACTTGTAACTTTGATTTGATTATTCTCTAGTTTTAGTATTTTTTTTTTTCTTTTTTTTTTTTTTTTTTTTTTTTTTTTTTTTTTTTTTTTCTCTCTCTCAGTTACTCATAGACCCCACTCTAACAATTTTTGCGGTAAAAGTTGGAGTAGAGAAATATATAGAGAGAAACAGAGAGAGGGAGAGAGAGTGTGTGTGTGTATGAGAGAGTGCAAATTTTATTTCCTGGAAAAATGGGACGGCATCATGAGAATGAAAACTCGAGAGGTAAGTCTGATCTTGCGCAGTGTTCGCTAAGTACGTTGCCTACCGATACTCTATCTTTACACGAAAAACACGATGTTCTTTATCGTCTACTTGAACTTTTGCCTGAGAGGTATATGTCTACAAATATAAACGAGCAACGTTTACCTGAGGCTCTTATTTTGCGTATTATTCGTGAAGCTCATCCTATTATTGCTAATGAACCTATTGTTGTTAATATTGAGTCCCCTGTTTGTGTATGTGGGGATTTACACGGACAGTATTACGATCTTGTAAATATTTTTAGACGAAGACCACCTTTGGGGGGTAAAGTTTTTGGTTCAATAAATAATACACAAATATTTCATAGACACAAACGAAGACGCAGTCATAGTCAAGAATCTTCGTTATCACATTCACAAGAATTGAAAGATACCAATGAAACTACATATGGATACCTTTTTTTAGGAGATTATGTTGATCGTGGTAGTCGATCTATTGAAGTCGTAGTTACTCTTCTAGCATTAAAAATAATAGAACCATCAAAAATAACTCTTTTGCGTGGAAATCATGAAGATGAACAAATTATGCTTTTGTACGGTTTCTTTGATGAATGCAAAAGAAGGTATGGAGTAAAGTTGTTCCGTATCTTTGCTGATCTTTTTCGTGTTCTTCCTGTAGCTGCAGTAATTAATGGAACTATATTTTGTATGCATGGAGGACTTTCTTCAGAATTGAGGTTTATTAAAGATGTACCAGATATCCGTCCATGTAATGTTCCGCATAGTGGAATTATTTGTGATTTGTTGTGGGCGGATCCAGAAGCTGAACTTCCACCAAATGTAGATTGGTCACCTAGTTCCCGAAGGATATCATATGTTTTCTCAGCAAGAGCGTTGGAAAAATTTTTAAAGGAAAATGATCTTGATATGATTTGTCGAGCACACCAGGTGGTAGAAGAAGGTTTTCAATTTTTTCCTAACAATAAGAAACGTCATTTGCTTACCATTTTTTCGGCTACAAACTATTGTAACGAGTTTGGTAATCGTGGTGGAGTTTTATGTGTTGATGCGGAGGGCACTTGTAGTCTTTTAATTCTAGAGCCACCAAATTTTCAGCAGCAACGAGTAATAATGATGAAGCAAGAGGCTATACCTAATAGTCAACAGAATTCTTCTGAAATCGATGGATAAAGAAGAGATGGAAATAATACAATATGTCTTTATATGTAGTGCCTTTCTTTGTTTTGTTTTTTTTGTTTTGTTTTTTTGGTATTCTTATGTAAAATAATGATGTTAATATTTTTCTCTCCCTTTTTTTTTTTTGCATGCGTATGTTTTTGCGATAGCAGAATAGGAAGAATATCTCTGATCTATTAGGAGTCAGAGGGGGAAAGAAAAGAGAGTGGAAGGAATTCCCTTTCTTTTTTTTCCTTCGTTTCCGCAAACTAAAAGATTGTAAATTCTGTATATTAATTTTTTTTTATTGTTGTAAAATACCATTACGGCAGCCCACTTAATCCTAACCATACCATACCAATCACCTCATCTCATCTCCTTCCTACAATTGCGCACGAACGAGTACACCCTTGGCAAATTCTTTCGGAAAAAAAAGATTTTCCCAACGTGTTTTCGTATTGAGTAACTATTGATGGCAGACTATCCTGCTCTTCAAGACATTTTAGTACCACGTAATTCAGGTTGTTTAAGTACTGCTAGAATTCAAAATGAATCATGCTGCACAATAAAATATGACCGTATTTTGCGTTTACCTGTGCTAGTCATGAAGGGTAGTCTCACAACCTCGCGGGTGCGGATTCCACGTGAAGAATCTCCTCTTTCATTTTTGCACCTCCCTTATTCCCTCATTGTTCTTCAGACGTACCTTGGTTCTTTCGATTCTTTTGCACTGGAAGTTGGTGTGGGAATTAGCAGGCAGTTGAGTGTGAAGCTTACCATTGGGACGCAATTCAATAAGCCTTCTGCTGAAAATCCAAGCAATGGTGTCGTTATTGCTAAAATGCCTTTGATTATTCCACGTAATCGTTGGGTACAGGTGGTCATTCACGTATCTGGTATAGTAACTCAAATTCTTAATTTGCCACCTATTAAATTTATTGATTCAATATCATTAAGTGGAACATGTAAAGCTTCACGGATTATGTTAGCTAATGATGAAGATGAGGCAATTAATGCTACCCCTCCTGCAATGGCTCTCTTCGCTGTTCCTGCATACGCTCCACCCATTTGGCAGACTGCCGGTGGGGCTATTTCGCCCTCTATAACGAATAATAAATCTATAGAAAGTACAGACACTGCAAAACATCGTTTATCTAATGGACAGCTTCCAGTGGTAAAGGAAACATCAGAAGGAGTACGTTCTGCGGGCGCATTAGGGAGACAAGAGGAATCAGTAACAAATCGTACTCTGCCACAACCACCATCAACCGCACCACCAACAACAACAAGACCACACCCACTGACATCTCCACTACAAGAGCAACTAGAACAACAACCGAAACAAGAACAAGAACAACAGCAGCAACAACAAAAACAAAAACAACTACGCAAGTTAAGTTCTATAACAAAAGGGGATTCCATGACGTACATTCGGCTTGTAGATGAAACGGGCGCTTCACAGCATAGAAACCCTATAGCATCGATACGACAGCGATCAGGCAATGTATCGGGGAAGGAAAATGTTGGGAATTCTGCGGCAGCGTCATCATTGTCATCAGCTGTTATTTCTGCTTCACCTCATTCTACTCCTGTAATTGATGCATTGCAGTGTATTACAGGATGGAAAGAGACCGTAGATATCGGTGGTAGTACCAGTCTCGTTTCTTCAACTCCTGTTGAATTAACTGGGAAAGGTCGAGTGTCAACGAATCATGAATCTGGGACCGAACAGAGTTCAGGTGGTGGAAACATTAAATCGAATAGCAACAATAGTGGTACAGATAATTCAGGCAGCAGAACACAGCCTCCAAAAAAAATGACAGGGGTGCGAAAACGTGTTATTCAATTCCCTACTAAGTTTCGAAAAACAATAGGAGCAGATGGCCAATTAGTTGCTGATAATGATAGTGGTGCTGCCTCAGCAAACACTGCAAAGCGAAAAGGTCTCACTCTTCGACGTACACGTATACGAAAGCAAATAAAACTTCTTAGGGAAGCACAATTAAGTGTGCGTCGTATACAGGAGATAAAGAAGCTCCCGGCATCAGAAATGCCGATAGATCCACAGGAGGAAGCACTAATGATGGTGGGGGAGGAGACAGTGGACGTGTTAAAGGAACCGAGGTGTGGCTATGGATTTGGATACCTTGGTGTCCTGCACGAGGGTGGGGGATTTGAAACAGATGAAGGGGCGGATACAAAATTGAAGGGTGCACTTACACTGGATTTGCCGGATATCTCTGGAGAGGAAGAGGAGGAGGAAGAAGAGAAGGATGATGATGATGATGACGATGATGAAGGGGAGTAAATGGGGCGGCAGTAATATGCGGGGAAGGGGTGTTTTTCTGAACCGAAGCACTGACTGTAGATGAGTATAAAAAAGAAAGGAAAAGTAAGAGATAATGAAAGGCAATAGGAAGGATTAAGAGAGAGAAAAAAAGGAAAAGAAGGCAGTTCGTGCAATTTTTTTTTTTTTTTTTCTTTTTGGAAAGTTGTTTTTCTCCCTTTCTGTGTATATCTCTGTATACGGTATAGTGATTTGTTTCTGAGTTTCTGCCTTGTGTATGCATGCATTCTTTTCAGCCCTTCGGTAATCATTATCTCTGACACGCACACTACTCTTTTTTTTTCCTAAAATTCCACCGTAGGCAATCTTAGCTGTGTACGGATCCATTGACTTGCAAAACGATTCTTCTGTGCCTTTTTCATTTGGAGAAAATTATATCTACTGTTTTTTTTTTTTTTTTTTGTATGTTTTATTCGAATCGCTTTATGCGAATGTACACAATTTTTTGTACCTGTTCTTTTTTTTTCGTGTGTATGCATTTCTTTGTAAAATCTCTCTATGGAGATAAATATAAACGAAGTTGCGTTCTCAATGCATGAATCTTTAAAAAAAAAGATATACATAACATATTTGTGTCAATGCATGTATACAAATCTATACATATGCACTAGCACGCATATGAATGCACATCTGTAAATATGTTTTGCAATAGGAGTATCACGTGGACCCTTTTTTTTTTTTTTGCGCATGTGTCGTGTCTTTGTTTACCGTTGTTTGACTACCCTTGAATGCATGAGGGAAAAAAAGGAGATGCAAATATCTCTTTTAATTTCCACCTGTACAACCCCCTTCATTCGTCCTATGCCTGTTTCCGTATTTGTGTTCTTACACAACGCTTCTGGGTTATATTTGCTGCAAATAGGTAAGGATACTAATTGAAGAAGAAAATGGCATTGGGATGGACGCTTTGCTATTATCTAAAATTGTTTTTGTTTTTCACTGTCCTTTTTATACCTTTCCTTTTCTTTTTTCTTCGTTTTCTTTGATATCCTTTCTACTGCACAACCCATCGCGTTTATTACTGTTATTATTATTATTATTTATTTATTTATTTATTTATTCTTTCTCACATTACTAACTCATGCGCTCACACCCACAGTTGCTCTTTTCACTCTTTTCCTTTTTTCCTCGTCACCAATATGTACTTTGTTTCTCTTTCTCTCTTTTTGTGTGTGTATGTCTCTTTGATTTGATTACAGAAGCGAGTAATCCTGCAGAATGGTCTTGCCTAGCCGAAAGAACGTTGACCGCCGCAGCCGCAAGGGTGCTGGGAAACACCGCCCCGACGTGGTGGTTCTCGATCTGAAGAATCACGTGCTCGGTCGCGCCGCAGCCATCGTTGCAAAGCAGTTGCTGCTCGGAAAGAAGATCACTGCCGTGCGTTGCGAACAGCTTAACATTGCCGGAACAGAGATCCGCAACAAGATCAAGTACCTTCAGTTCCTCCGCAAGCGTAAGCTGTCAAACCCCAAGCTCGGTCCCTTCCACCACCGCAGCCCCTCTGACATCTTTGTCCGCACCGTGCGCTCCATGCTCCCCCGCTACACCAAGCGTGGACAGAAGGCACTCCGCGCACTCGTGGCGTACGAGGGTGTTCCCGTCAACGTTGTGCGCACCGGCGGCCGTGTGGTGATCCCAAAGGCCCAGCGTCACTACTGCTTCCGCAGCGAACGCCCCTACACTGTTCTGGGCAACATGTGCAAGCATGTGGGTTGGAAGTACAGCGAGGTGGTGGAGAACCTTGAGAAGGCCCGTGTGGAGAAGGCAGCACGTCACCACAAGAAGACAGAGAAGCTGCGCGCTGCATGGAAGTCTGCCCGCAAGGCGGCTTTGGCAAAGATGCCCAAGAAGAACGTGGAAGTGCTGAAGAAGTTCGGCTACGCGTAATTGGAATTCTGTATGTGGCGATAGTCAATAGCAGGGCTTCGCTTACTCGATTCTTTATTTCTGATTTCTCGTTGTTTTTGTTTTTTTTTTTAGGTTTTTTTTTCATTGGTGTTTTCATCAGTTGTTTTCGATGTGTTTTACCGTAATTCCACCTGAATCGTCAGTGCAGTGACTGAGATTGATTATTTATTCATCCTTTCTTTCTTTTTTTTTTCTCGTTTTCTACTTATTGCTCAAAAGGGAGAGAAATAGGCAGGACAAACACACACACACACACACACACACTAACACAAAGGTGGTGATTACTATTATTATATATATTATTATTTATTTATTTGACATACAGTAAGGTGGCTGTCTAGCAAAGAAAGAGTGAAATAGTGAGTGGAGTATAAATTCTAGATAACAACGTTCATGCCAGGCGAAGTTAACTCAAGCCACCAGAAAAGCAGTGAAGGTGCATCTGAGGAGAATGTAGACCTCATGTCGTGGGAGGAGTTTCGTTGCCGCTACATCATGGAACACAATATACGGCACCGGATGTTGCACAGAGTAAATAATATTGGACCGCATGGTATTCAAACACCGTCTGCTGGAGTATCTAATGATATGAATCAACCACATCCGAATCCTGCTGCTCAGGTGCCCCAACCAGCAGTGGCAGTACAGCAACGCATGTGGAACCTTGCTGAACGTGTCCGCGATATCATTCCTGAGCTTTTCCGTGTATTTTGGCGGGCACTTTTGGCAACAATTTTGTTATTTAGGTCGCTTCAGTTGAGTTATTTTATTGGTGTATTGGTAGCGTTTGCCGGTTGGGTGCTTCTTAAGCGTATCTTGGGATCAGTGAGGGTAGAACGTGAGAGACCAAATCATCACCGAGGCGAAACACACACAACAGGAGGAACAAATGGAACCACAACGGCACCAACGCCTCACCGGCACCAGCAATTATCACTAATGCGCAAAACACTATATATCCTGACACGTTGCATCACCTCATTTTTTTTAAGTTTGTCTCCAACCTATTCTGTGGAACAATTGGAGGCAGAATTGGCAGCTGATGGCCTTATTGAACCTCACTTGCATCAGGACTAGCTACAGGAAAGTATTATGATTATTATATAAAAAAAAAAAAAAAAAGAGGAAAAAAAAAATAGAGAACTGGCATATCCCTAGACCCGGGAGATCATTACAACGGGAGACCCATGTGCGCTCTATTACAGTTGCCATGTTTGACATTGCTTGCTACATATATTCTGGACACCGGAGAAAACGAAGTGAAGAAAAAAAAAAAAAAAAGAAACACCAGAAGAAAAAAAAAAGTCTCTGTAGATTGTCACCTTTTGTATCTTTTCTTTTTTTTTATTGTCCAAGATGAAGAGATGTTAGAGCAAGAGACTGTGTTGGTATTCTTACTGTTATTTTGGAACACCACTCTTGGCTTTTTGTTTGTTTGTTTTTATCCTTTCTGTTAAATAGGAAAAGGAAAAAAAAAGAAGTAGAGGGATATTAATTCATATCTTTAGTACAAATTACAAAAAAAAAAAGGGGTTGACTATTTAACATACTGACTGTTAAAGTTTCTTCAATAAGGCAAAAAAGAAATAAATAAAAGAGAAAGAAACACGAAGGGTGAAAAGAAAAGTAATTACACAGGAAAACATGTCACTTAATATTATAGGGGATTTTAATTTTTTTCAAATTCTCCTTTCTTTTGTTGTTGGTGTCGTGGTGCTGATATTTTTCAAATCATTTCTTCGCAGACGTCAGTACCTTGTAGAAGCAGTTCCCAAGTCAATTTTGGTTCCACGTGCCTACACATTAGAGGAATTGAGCGAATACGATGGTGTTAAGAACCCAATGTCGTTTGTTGGTGTTCGTGGTGTTATTTACAACTGCTCTAATGAGTTCTATGGCGCTAACGGACCTTATAATGCATTTGCAGGCCGTGATAGCTCACGACAATTGGGTAAAATGAAAGTTGGTCGTGAAGAGTCTAATGCTGATTGGACCACACTGGCTTTAGATCATTTGATTACACTAAATGAATGGGAGGAGCGACTTCGCAGCAAGTACGAAGCAGTGGGATGGATTATTCCCCCTGATGATTTCTCCAAGCGGGCAGAGGCGTTTGATCCATAGAGCAAAGGATAACACTAATATATATATATATATTGTGGTAGTAATGGCAAGAAGTATTATTATTTTTTTTATTATTATTATTATTATTCCCCCTTCTATTATTCTTCTTGTTTTCAATGTAGTTGCATTTGCTGGCCTTTTTGAATATCATTTATTGGCTATTTTTGTGTTTGTTGTGCGTCAAGGGGGGGGGGGGGATCTCTTCTTCTTTCATATCTCAAGCAAAACAAATCAAAAAGGAGCAGAAGAAGAAAAATAAAATAAAAAACAACACTCTTATTTATTGTTATTATTATTTTCTTGTTTTCCACTAAAAAAAAAATAATTAGAGTTTTACTTATTTATGTGTAATTTTTTTTCTATCATTATTATTATTATAATTTTTTTTTCTTGTTTTTTTTTTTTTTTTTGATCTTTTAATCATTTACAGGGGAAGATCGATCATTCTTGCCGCACAAATGACAGACGTTGTGCTGACTTTAGATCGCCTGGAGCCCGTTCCTTCTTTATCGGGCGGAAACAACTGCGTGGTCTCCGTGGCTGTAGACACAGAGAGCAGTCGTGATAAGATCTCATCCTCCAGGGACGCCGGCTGTAGTTCCTCCACCTTCTCAGAGAAGTGCTGCTGCCATTATGTTGAGAATGATGGCTCAAAGGAGGGAAAAGAGTCCGATGTCGCTACATACATCTCTATTATAAACGCTTTTCAGGAAAAGGTGAATACATTGCAGAAGGCACTGCTGACCGCTAATCAATGTGCGGTGCTCTCACGTACAACCGAACTCTCTGGGGAGTCCTTGTCGACAAATGAGAAATTACAAGAGAAGAACTCTCGCATTAAAGGACAAAGTACACGTCGACGACGAACAGAATGGACTCAAGCCACAGATGCGAATAATGCTATGAATTTACTGGAACAAGTTTCTTCTAATATTCATCCAGATGATTTTGAGAGATGGAAAAAAGATTCAGATTCTCCTTTACTTGATAATGTTAATACGAATAAAAATAGTTCTTCCAAGGAAAATGTGATTCAAAAGGATAAAAAACAAGTAGAGAAGAATGAAGAATTTGAACATTTTGTCATTTCTAGTTGCCCTACAACTGAGGAACTCGAGAATTCCTCAAATTTAAATGGTGTTTTTGTTGATCCTGTTATCCTTGTTGATATAACTGCAGTTATGGCCAACAAGAAACAGGAACAGGAACAGAAGAAGGAACAGAATTCTCTGCCTAAAGAATGCAACTGTTCAGTTAAACAGAGTACAATATGTGAAGAAATGGAACGAGTGAATTCAGAAAATGTCAAATTGCGTGAAATGTATACTGAGGCGCAACGAAAACTAGAGACTAGAAATGAAGAAATTCGCGTACAAAAGGTTCAACTAGAAGAACTGCAAAAACGTGTGGAAGAACTATCCCAGTGTAAAGCCAAGATGCAAAAGGAGTTCGCTGCCCTGCAATCCCAACACGATGAGGCGATGAAATTAAAGCAACTCTCTGAGGCAAAGGTGCGGGACACAACAATGATGATGGAGTCCATCAATGCTAGTCATCAGGCGGCTCGTGCAGAGTGTGAGGAAGCCAAACGTGATGCCGAGGCCGCATGGAAAGAAGTAAGACGTCTAGAAAAAGAATTGCGTGAGTGGAGTCAAAAGGAGCGTGAACTGCAACGACTTCGAATACTCATGCGATTTTCAGAACTGAAAAAAGATAGCGATAAACTTTCCACCGTGGCGGAAGAGATAGAATTTCTCAGTAATGAGAGACAACGCTTGCATGAGGAAAACAGACGCTGCCGCACACTGCTATCAGAGTATCGACTACGACTAGAGCAGAAAGAAGCAGAGTCTTCCTCAATTGAAATTCAAAGTAGCTGCAATAATGTTAAAAGTATCGATACAAACGATATGTGTAAACCCGCACAAGAGAAAGATGAACTTAACAGTTCCGTTCCATGTGTTTCACGTAGATCTCAATCCCAAGTGCGCAACACCGTGCGGGCACCGTCTCGTCCTGCATCTGCACTGCGTGTGAGAGAAGAATCCCACAGGCGATCTACACAACAGACAAAATCGTGTGGTGCATCGGGAGGGAAACCTCCATTAGCGGCCACCTCTGCATTTCCTCAGGGTGACGGAAGTGTCTCCTCATTGTTTGAGAGAAGGGGGCGTAGTCCCAATCGTCATCAAAATATGATGAGTTCACAGCGCCCAAAGAGTTGCAAGGGTAGGTCCATATTGTTTTGATTATATACACTTTAGAATTACTATCATTATTATTATTATTATTATTATTATTATTATTATTACTCAACTTCGCTGAATGTATTGTATCACACATGTAAGTATGCATACCCCGGATTGTACGGGTGAGAACGAGTTAAAAAAAAAAAGAAAAAAAAGTGGCTTGTGGAAAATGGAGTGAATTAGACACTTTTCCTACAATGAGAAGAAATTAAAAAAATGCCTTTATGACAAAGTTTTTTCTTTTTTATTATGCTTTTATTATTATTATTATTATTATTTTACTTGGGTCTTTTTTTGTGTGTATGTGTATGTGTGTCTGCTCGTTTTCTCATGCGTCTCTTCTTTTTTTTTCTTTTTTTTTTTTTTATACATCTATTTCTCATTTATCGTCATAATTACTTTACGTGTTGAAATTACATGTATAAAGTTTGTACAAAAAGGTAATTAGTAGAGTAGTCCACAGATATATTCAAGGTGCGAATAAAAAAAAAAAGGGAAGGGTTTGCCTGGAGTGGGGAAGCAAACAGGGAAAGAAGAAATTGTTTTTATTACTATTTCTTCTTTTGACCTCCACCTATTTTGACGCACTTTTTTATTTCTTTTTTCTTTTTTTTTATCTTTTTTTTTTTTTGAAAGACGTAGTTATTTTGATAATTACGATTTGTTGCGACACCATTGATAGGATTGCTTTGATTTTTTTTTTTTTTTTTTTGAGCACACTATCAGCATATCGTCCGTGATCGCTTTCTTCTATTATCAGTTGTTTTCTGGCTTTTATTGCTCTTTGTCCTTCTTTGTCAGTTCGTTTTCTGTGGAGGCTCTCACAAGGGAATTTTGACATCTTCAGCTCCATCTCTGTGTGTGTCGGTGTGATAAAAGGGGTTTGGTTATTATTATTATTATTATTATTATTATTATTATTATTATTATTATTATTATTATCTTCATTCCTTTCAGGAGCTCTTCTTGCTGCATTACTTGCGTGACACTACGATTCGGTCTCTTCCCTGGGTTCTTTCCGAATACGCACACGTGTGAAGATACACTGAGTTTAGTCATTTATTATTCTTGTGAATTGCTGTCTATTTTGTGTGAGAGTGAGAGAGAGAGAGAAAAAAAAAAAAAAGTGATGAATACCGACGCATCCGTGGCTTCTTCCTTCGATCACCACAGGGAGACGGATAGACGAGAACATGAAGGATCAGGGAGACACGCCCCACACGGGAAATCTTCACCTCCTGTGAGGTCTCAGTATCCACAGTCGAATGTTCAAAGTTCAACAGTCTCAAATGTCGCTGACACGTGTAATGTAGGTAGTAGACATCCAACGGGTGATCCTTCCTTGTCAGCATCGCGAACAAGTGGAAAGCCTATTTCTAATACGGGTAGGAGTTATGGAAGTGGCGGGGACCACACGGTGTATCGAGATCCCTATGCTAATGGCTATGCTGGTAGTAGTACAGGCAACGCCGTCACTCCTTCTCCGCCATGTAGAAATACGAATAGAACCCACGAGGGGGGATTAGATGATCCCCCAACAGCAACTGCAGTGGAAGTAACAACAACAACAACAGTGAGGGGTGGTACAGCTGCGGTGACTGACACTGTGCCCAATACAGATAATACAGGAATGGTGACAAGTGAGAACTGTGAGAGGGATAAGGGGTCTGATGGGATACCTTCTGCCTCTTGTGTTAGGACGGCGACAACAAGTTCTACAGGCAAAAAAGATGTTTCTTGTGAAGGCCAAGTTGGGGATTCCGAAAAACTCTCAACTGACACTAAAAATGTAGCTGGGACGGAAAGCAATGAGAATAGAACGCGAGAAGATAGTTCTCAAACTACAGCAACAACAACAATAGGTATGGTAACAGAACAACAACAACAACCAAAGTATCCACGGCATCAACAGTCAATGTATGTAGATCCGAACAGAGAAGGACATTCTAGTATATCTGCTAAAGGACACTCCATACATGTCTCTAATACTACCACCAGTACATCAGCATCAGCAGCAGCAGTAGCAGTAACAACAACAAATAATAATAATAATAATAATAATAATAATAATAATAATAATAATAATAATAATAATAATAATAATAATAACACAAGTACTACAGCTGCTGCTACCTCTATGGGACCTGCTGCTTCTACAACTGATGGAACTACTGTGGTGAATTACGTTCGTCCTGCTGTGGCTCTCAGTGTCCATTTACTATCTCTCTACAAGAAAGTAAATGAGATGTACTGCCGCCAGCGTCGAATAGAAATTCCAGGACCAAAATATAATAATGGTTTTGATGATAAAGAGGGTCACTATCTAGTTCTCTCCGGTGAAGAAATACTTAACCGGTATACTGTTCAGGAGGTACTTGGAAAGGGTAGTTTCGGTACTGTCCTCCGTTGCTATGATGAAAAGCGACGTGAGAATGTAGCACTAAAAATCACTCGTCATGGACTAAGTTTTCGTACACAAGCTAAGCTAGAACTTGATATTCTGCTTAAACTGAATGTTAATCCACATCTTAATCATTTAGTTGTTAAATTATTAAAGGTATTTGATTGGCAGGGTCATCTTGTTCTAGTATTTGAGCTATTAAGTTTTAACTTGTACCAACTCATTAAGTGTACTCGATACAACGGTGTGACACTAGATTTAGTCCGAAAGTTTGCCTATCAGCTTGTACAAGTTCTCTACCAACTGGAGCAAACGAAACCTAGTCCTATTATCCATTGTGATATTAAACCAGAGAATATCCTTCTACGAAATCAGAACCGTAGTGGTATCCGTCTCATTGACTTTGGTTCTGCGTGCTATGCCAACAAGGTGATTCACAAGTACATCCAGAGCCGCTACTACCGCAGTCCCGAGGTGATATTATACCTCGAGTACGGCACGGCGATTGACCGCTGGTCGCTGGGCTGCGTGCTGGTGGAGCTGCACACCGGCATGCCGCTCTTCGACGGCCGCACGGAGGCCGCGCAACTCGCCCGCTTCGAGGCGATGCTCGGGCCGCCGCCGGCCGACATGCTTGAGATGTCCCCGAAGCGGGCGAAGTTCTACGACTCCACCGAACGGGGCTTCCGCCTGCGCGAGCCGCCGCTGCCCGCCCGGCCGCTGGAGAGTGTCATTGGCGTCACCACCGGCGGACCGCGCGGGGCCCGCAGGGGACAGCCCGGCCACAGCGAGGAGGCCTACAGACAATTCCACGACTTTGTCAGCAGACTCCTGCAGTACAGACCAGCAGACCGTATGAGCTGCCATGACGCCCTGCGGCACCCATTCTTGGAGCCCATGTGGACAGCAGACCAACACCAACAACAACAACGGGCACAGCACATACACCAACAACAACAACAGCCACAGACACAGGCACAACTACATCCACCAGAAGTACAAGCACATCAAGTCGCACCTCCTCAGACGCAGTAGTAACAACTGCAGGTAAAAAAAAAAAAAAAAGAATAAAAACTCTCTCCTCTTTGATAGTTACATAAATGTTATTAGAAGGCGATGAGTGTGTTCCCCTCTCCCTCTCCCTCTCCCCCTCTCTCTCTCTTTGTCTTTCTCAGTTGCATGCATGCATGTATGTTATGTGAAGAACCTCATGTGGTTTTTTTTTTCCATTAATTCGTGAGTCTCTTACCGAGTATATAAGGGAGACTTTTTTTCGACCTTCAAAACAGTATATCTATTTGTGCATACCCAATTTGTGTTATTGGGTATGTTTGCATGTGTGGAGTTTGCATTCTGGCTGAGTGTGCGACTGAGAGGAAAGGTGAGAAATTGGCTTTATCAACAGAGACGACAGGCAAGAGTGGACTTCCAATGCAAAGGGAATAAAAAACACGATACATTCTCTGGTTTTAGTTCCTCGCTATTCTTGTTTTGTTTTGTTTTGTTTATTTACTGCTTCTGTTCGCCACCTGGCGTGTCTCTAGGTGCAAGTACATGTATACGTGAGTGCGTGTTTTGTCTGCGTTTACGTAATTCTGAAAGAAGATGTGAGGAAGAGAAGGGAAAGGGAAAGATGTGTGTAGAAGGAGAGAGGGTGTGGATGTGGAAGAAAGAACACTGCAAAAAAAAAAAAAAGTACCCGGATCACCACCACCACCTCCTCCTTTTTTTCTTTTTATTTGCTTTATATCGCTCTTTGCCTTGATACCATACGCAGAGAAACTTCAACAGTAGAATGAAGGGTTATTGAACCAAGAGAATTAAGGAAACGGAAACCAACAAAAGCAGAAAAAAAAACGAGAATAAAAACGGATGGTAGGAAATGTATTCGGGGGTGAAAGGAAGGCACTATAACGAAGAACGAAAGGTGTGGGAAATATAACGTAACATAAAAGAGAGAGGAAAGATCTTGGTAAGCGAGAGGTACAGAGAGAGAGAAGAGAAGGGTCAAGTGAGAATAGAGGGAAATGGTGGGAGGGTGGTAGAAGTAAAAATAAGAGGGAGGGTGAAAAAAAAAGGAAAAAAAAATAAAAAGATCAAGAAAGAAAAAGAAAACATGTTGATATGTGCGAATAGAAGCGTAACGGATTTGGGACAGCACGATGAATATATTGCACTCGAAGAAATAAGCGGTTGAGTCAATGACTCATTCATTGACTTTTTCCCATATTTCCTCATTCGCTTTTTTTCTTATCACATGAGAAATATATAATGTAAGTGGAAATAGGAGGATGTTGAAAAACGTCCCTCTTCACTTGTATTTCCAGAAATTGCTATAATTGCCATTTGTCTCCTCCCCTGATGAAGGGGTAGATAAGTAGTTTCATAAATATACATGAAAAAGAATATACGGTTCATATATTTATATATATAT